AATCAGCCTACGAATCTGCCTGCAGCAAGCACTCTTGCTGCTAAGGGTGCTCAAAAGCAGAGGGCAGACCCACAGCTCCATCCCAAGAGGACCAGCCAGATAAATCCCAGGGAGCACCCAGAGATCAGTAACGCAGTCTGGCCTCAAAGCCGCACAACAGTGTAAATGCAGCCACGCTAGACTGGCTGGTTTGCAGAAACGCTGGCCTTTTCTGCTCCACAAAAAATGGGAGAAAACTTTCTGTAGGGGCTGCCATCAGCCCCTGCTTTGACATTAGTACAGAGCATGCTGGACCTGTGTCAGAGTGAGCTAGTTGCAGTAAAGATACCCGTAGACTGTGCTGTACATGATTACAGAGACTGTAATTGCAACTGGCCTTCTTCATCACAGAAGTGCTTTTAAGCCTGTAATAAATGAACACTCTGCAAACCAAGACACCGTTGTTTTACATTGAATGTTGCTGGTTGGGACTCTTGATCCCAGCTTTAAATACACAGAAGTAAGAATCTAGCTCCTTTTGATGTCAGTAATAACACATCCCTTATAACCAGACTCCTAATGTACCCCCAAACACTACGCAACATCGGCACCATATAGGTAGCAGGTTTGCTTTTCATTCTTAAGATGGCTCAGCATGGCAGACATGTCAGTGTGATTACTGGGCAAGTCATGTTGGATGCCACACGTTCATGGCACAACAGGGCATTTGAACAGCCTAAAGTGTAAATATTGTCTCCAAAAATAAAGAGGAGGACACGAATTTGATTAGGAAACTTAGGGTCACGAATTGCGCCTCTGAGCCACCCTGCCGAATACTAACGCTCATCCGTCAAGCACGATCTTATATACAGGCACACCTTGTCTGGCTCAAACTGCTGTTTTATTCCAAAACTCCCCTAGGCTCCCTTTGATCCAAGGTAGGAGGAAACAATAGTCCCTTAAAATACGTGGGACCAGTTCCCAGGTTTATTAGCCATTCCGAGTTCACTGGGCCACTGAAGTCAATGGCAGCTTCACCTGACTTTACAGCGCAAGCATCCTGATTTTGATTGCTCTAGAGGTCGCTGTCTCCAGCAAGAAATCGCAGCTGCAGCTCCGAATCCAGCAGCTTCACTTAATTTTGCTGGAATGACTCTCCGCTCTTTGATGCAGGGCTGCATCCCACTGCCCACGAGAGCTCCAACCAAGATAGGGCAACGTAAGATGAAACAGGCTCTTCCCATCAGTCTCTTAAGCAGATGTGGGTGAGCGTGGGCTTCACTACAGAAACACTACAGGCCACATTTCTGGCAGATCCTGGGCTATATAAACAAACAGGCAACATGACCTGGGCTCCCATAAATTTCCTGAAAATTCTTAATGACTCTAAAGACTTAATGAAGTGTTTCACAGCATAAGCAGCAGCCGGTAATTATGGTTTTGGAATCTGTGAAGTAGCAAGCAGAAGTCCAGCTCCGTGACTGAAAACGCAAGCAGTAATAATAGCTCTTTCAGAGCACAACACACTTCTTTTGCCATCAAATACCCTACTCTGTGAGCTGGTGCATCCCTAGCCAAGCGTCCTGTCAGCAGAGGCTTTAATCAAAGGGTAAAAAATATTAAATATAGAGACAAATTCTTGTGGATGGAGTTGCAAAACTTTGTGAAAGTGTAAACTGTATGTGCAAAGACCATGATTTAGCAAAAATTATTAGGAGGCAGCTACGGACTGTAAAAATCATTGTGCAACTGGTAGTAGGACTTGCAGCATAGGTTTGGGACCTGCCAGCACATGAAAGGGTTGTCACCGCTGTACCGTAATGCCCAGATCCATACCCCATGGCACCAGCACTCAGTTTGCATGCAGGTAAATTCAAATTAGCCTGTAGAGTATTAAAACTGGGGAAAGAGAGAGGGGTCCCAGCTCTCACAGACCCCCATCTACAAGTAAGAGGAGCCCCTGTCTCTCACTGAGGCAAAATATCACTGGTCATTCACACACCTCGACTCTGGGAAAGGCAGCTAGGGTTAAACCTGCACTCCCAATAATTGCACGTAGTAAAACACAGCCTCACACATTGCCTGGAAAGGCCACTAGTCCTGACTTACTCATCTATCACGTTGCACTGACTGCATGTAAAATGCTTTTCATCAGCGCTTTGGTCATCTTTTCTCCCTTATATGTGGCGCTGTTAGCAAAGCCTCTCTTTAAAGCCTACTGAAGGATTTCTAAAGAAAGTAAGTCTGTTAGTTTTTCCTTTTGCCTTCCCTTAGCTGTCATTACACAAGAGTAGCGCTTGAGATCCAAGTTTCTGTTAAAAAAGAGAACTAAGTTAAGCTCTTGCATGATGTCTCTAAAGGTGTATCAGTCAGTGCTTTCTTTACACGTTCTCAGGAAAGTTTATATACTAACCCAGCTAGGGGTGTTCAACTGGAAAGGAATATGAAGTCCCTCAGAACTACATATACCAACAGAACAGGAACCAAACTTCTTAAATCCTCTCCAGCTCAGCAGCAGAGATGAATTGTATGTTTAACACTTTAATCGTACCTTTGGAGGCCTCCGCTGATCAGGATGACTGATGACAGCAGGAGAGCCCACACCGCATACGGATGAAGAAAAGTCAAGACAAAGGGAACTTCAAGGAGGCTGAACTGACACGCACAGTCAACCCAGCTATCACATCAAACTACTTCTGGCACGTGTCCTGTTTCATAGATCGCCGCAGAACTTATTTGTTTCTACAAACTTAGAAAAAATTATCTCATACTCCTACTGCAATCAGTAACGTTCTAAAGCAAGCAAACACCACATTTGTTAATATTTCCAGAGATCTTTCCATCCCATCGGTTCAAGCTGTAGAACAAGAATGTAAATAGCTTAGATTACTTATCGAGGGACCTCCCAATTTAGCAGCTATGCAGCCCACAGCCTGTACAGACAACCCTGGGATACCAGCGAATAATATAACCCTCAGTTCTTCTTCAGCAAAACAGATGAAGTTTTAACTTGTTCTTCTCTCTCTGGTGTTTTTGGAAAATACATAAAGGAAAAAATTATTAGACAAAAATAGTCTATGTGTCACTTCAGACCAATCGCTGGGGACCTGGACTCAAAGCCCATTGAAGTCAGTGGAAAGATTCCTCTTGACTTCCACGGGGTTTGGCTCAAACCCACACGAATGCACTTCTCGCAGGTGTAAGTTTACACGTTTCTTTTAAATTGCCTGAACAAAGACTGCCCTGAAGAACCACCTTAACCACAGCTGCATTTGTCTATAGCAGGGAGCTTCCACCCTGCCTTCAGCAATGTTCCTGGTCTGGGGCCAAATCTCCAAGCCAGCACATCCCTCTATCTTCTTTTCCAAACCTTCCATTTTTACATGTCCCACATTTCTGAGTGCCCAGACGCACAGAGCTGCGCTGTCTCTCCCCAGGTTTCTGCCAGCATGGCTAACCCCATTGCCACCCATGCTCCCATGTCCCCATCTGAGCTCCTGGTCCCTTTACCCATCTCTTCACAACGTGACCTGCCCCCACCCTTCTGCCCAGTGTTTAGCTTCCAGCTAAGGCTCTTGTTAGCTGCAATCTTCCTAATCCACACGCAGAGCTGGTGTAAGCCAAAATCATCCATCCCCATGGCAGAAGCAAAACAGTAGCTTCCCACACATGGCAAAAATATTATCCAGCGGTCCTCCATCAAATTGTACTCTCTCCCTTCACACAGGCACACATTACAGCCCACAAACTATCTAGAGCACTTTTGCTCAGCATTGGGATGTGGAAAGGAGGCCAGGGCTTTCACAGGGCCACAGACAACCTCCTTCCTAGAGCTCCTGTTTGCTGTAGCCTGTAGAGGGCCAGGGTACATCGCTACGGGTGCAGCGGTCCTAACACGGGGTAGAATTAACCTTCCACATCCCCTCGGCAGCTGTCCTCAAGACACTGCGGCTGCCCTCTGCTGCTGGATCATCGTTTTCATATACGTTAAACATATTTATGCATACATGTATTATTACTAACAGCGCTCCTTTCATTTCATCCTCTTAGATAGTCACAAGCAAACTGTTCTCTGCCTTTCTGACTTCGTATTCCAGAACATCGCACGAGGAACTGGGGAATTTTATTCCGTCTGGAGATAAAAAAGCCAATTATTTTCACTTATTAGCTTCTTTTAGCCAGAACTTAATTCCAAGAGTATCAGGCTCAGTGCCTGGAAGGCTCCACCACGTAGCACAAAGATTAGCAACAACCAAGAAATAAAATAACCTCCTGCTGGCAGTTCTGGAGTTTGGTGCAGAAGGAAGAGGTGCCCATACTAGCAATAGTTATGCAAACCAAACAGAAAGTGAAATCAATGTGAACCTTGTCTAAAGAGGTCACTTATCTGCTTGGGTTTCCTCCTCCTTCCCCCTCCCCCCCAACTCCTCAAATGTTCTTTGAACATTCAGAGTTCTTCAAGTCACCGAAGGGACAATTACACGCTCCGCTGAACACAAAAACAAAGCTTGCATAATACAGCGTTGAACTCAGAGGGTTAAAGGACGCCCCTGGGAGCAGCGGCGGCGACAAATAAGCACGTTGAATGTTCCTTCACCTTTCTGATTGCTCATTAAGCTTTGGCATAATTCCACATATGAACTCACTGCACCAAAACAAGCTTACTCCATGCTATTGGGTTAAACATACAATACAAACAAGTCCTGGGATGGGCAAGCACAAGGGATCCAAATGTGCAAAAGGTAAGCCAGGCTCTGAAATCCACTGTTTTGCAGAAGGCTATCCGTGGCTCTTCACGAGCTGAAAATGAGTATGAAATGTGCCAGGGATAACACATGCAAGGATTTATTAATTTTGCCAGAAATGAAATGACATCCATCGCTAACGTTTGAGCACAGGACTAGGAATCAGGAGAGACTGGCTTTCTGCCTGCTTCTGATGCTCACTCGCACACCGACACCGTGTTGCTTTCAGTGCTATAAATCGGCCCGTGCCTCAGTTTCCCTGTCTCTCTTCTGCAGGTCGGTGGATCAAAGCTGCTGCGTTTATTTAGGAGCACTGAAAGAAGAGCCAAAAGAAGGAAGGAATAAATGGAAAGGTAAATGCTTTCAACGTAAGTCAGCCCTTACTTTGCCTGAATAAGCAGCACAGAGAGGTGGAAGCAAAAGGAACCATAAAAGCTGGAAGCGACAGATTTCGGACAAGTCCACTGTGACAACTGTGCCCCTTTAATGGAGAGGATGGCTCAAACCAGCAGCCCTAAGCTTGGTCCTGCTGGGCTTTGCTCCCTGCCAACAGCATTCAATGTACTGCTTTGTCTTTCAGAAAGAACATGTAATTGCTATCGTTCATTATTTACAGATGTGCAGATATCTGAATCTACTCAACAACCATACTGAGCTGCCAGCCAGAGCCAAGAAATTAGGTTCACAAGAGGCTTAGGAAGACTATCCTGAGAGATGAGAATTGGGTTTCTGGTGTCCAGTTCAAGCCATTTGCCCCTTGAAAACACCTGCTGATTTCTTCCCTTGCACTCACAGGGAAGCAAAAGACAATTTCACGCTACTCCTTATCTGCCTCCTCTGTATCCTTTTGTCAGTTCCCACCAGTGGCTTCCCTATCGGTTGCCACATCTGGGAGGGATGTAAAGCTGACAGGCAGAGAGATGCCTGCCAGCCATGTCAGATTAACCACTTCCATGCTTTTCCCTTTGTAAACCTGGGAAAGTCGCACTGGGTGAGCGGTAGGTAAATAACAGGAGACTCTAGGTGCTCTCTCTCAGCTTGGGACAGTGTCAATAGATATGATCCTGGCACCACCAAAGCTAACATCAAACATATGTTGACTTTAACACTCTTGAAAAATGATAATAAATGCTGTGATATTCCCCAGAGCAACTCCCTTTCTAGGCCCAGGGGCTGGGAAGATGAAGAAAGCTCTGTCTCTACAGGAGCTCACTGAGTGCGTGTGCCTGGGAGGAAGGGAATGGGAAACCAGCAGCTCACTGACCAGGGCGCAGCAGAAGGACAGGAGCTGACATGAGGTGAGCATTTCACTTTTGCTTTGAAGGATTAAAGACTTTTATAGGATGGGCTCACGTTTGTACAATGCTGCTGCATCAGCCCCATTTCTGAGAAGGGACAGGGGGAATCACTGTGTGCAAAGACAAATAAGCTCCTGTTGACAGCTGAACAAAGTCTGATGGCAAAGGACTCGGAGCAGGTCTAAGCTGCCTGGCAGCAGCCTGGCAGGGACTGGCCAAAAGTGATAAGTGGCATTTGCAAAACACTTAGGAGAAAAAATACAAGACAGTAAAAACCATGTGCCCCACCTGAGAAATGTGGGGCATCCCC